CTTTACAACATATTCTGCTTTCTGGTAGCTCAAGTTCTCCCATTAAATTGTTCCATATTCTTATCTATTCTTGCTCACTCAGACTTCTAGATTAAATTTAGAACAGCTTTGTCAAGTTAAGAAAAAAAATTCCACAGGGACTGTGCTTGTGATTGCATCAAATTGATAAATTAAATTAGGATTAATCATTCAGCCTTTCCACCCAGAAATATATGGTATGCCTCTGTAGGAGAAGCCACGTAAAGAAAACAGAAAAAGAATCTCAAGTTAGTTTTGAATTACTGCATAATTACAAATGACAGCTCAGGCTGCAGTGGCTCACTAGAAAGTTAATGGAAAAAAGTCAACACTTTGGCATAAATAACCTGCTTAAAGCATTTTCAAGTAGGTAAGCCTCTCCTCAGATGTCCTGCAGCAGACAAGCTATCCTCTGGGAAATGGGGTTACAGATCATCACACTAAGTGAAGTAAGTCAGAAAGAGAAAGACAAATACCATATGACATCACTTATATGTGGAGTCTAAAATATGACACAACATATGAACTTATCGATTAAACAGAAACAGACTCACAGACACAGAGAACAGACTTATGTTTGCCATGAGGGAAAGGGGGCAGGGAGAGATGGATTCAGAGTTTGGAATGAGCAGACGCAAGGTATTATATATAATGGATAAACAAGGTCCTACTGTATAGCACAGGGAACTATATTCAGCATCCTGTGATAAACCATAAAGGAAAAGAATATGAATTAGAATGTATATGTATGTATAACTAAATTACTTTGTCATAGAGTAGAAATTAGCAAAATATTGTAAATCAACTATATTTCAAAAAAAAATAAATTTTTTAAAACAAAGGCCAGTTCTAGACCTGGCTTGGGTATCCACTAGTTGTGTGACTAAGGCCAGGGCACATGGTCTCTGAGCACCTTGAAAAGGGGGGGCAGATGAGTGTAAATGAACTCAGATGACCCCTAACACACTCTTTCAGTGCTGACATGCCATAAATTCTAACTCACTTCTATTTTTTGTTTCTTCTTTGGTTTAGCTTTCTTCATGTGTGGCTTGGTTACCTGGAGGTTATTAGCTTCTCTTGGGTTCACTTAGGGCTTCCCTTGTGGCTCAGCTGGTAAAGAATCCACCTGCAATGCAGGAGACCTGGGTTTGATCCCTGGGTGGGGAAGATCCCCTGGAGACGGGGAAGGCTACTCCAGTATTCTGGCCTGGAGAATCCCATGGGCTGTATAGTCCATGGGGTTGCAAAGAGTCAGACACGACTGGGGGGGTTCACTTAGGGACAGACAGACACGAGTAACCGAGGACCAGGCTCAGGTCATCAGATCTAGGGAAGCTGCTGCCCAGCTGCCCCGAGTCCCCGTCACTCAGCACTGTCTGAACATTTGTCACTGTCCTTCCCCTCCCAACTTTCACAGCCTCTCCCACTTGCTCCATGACCCTCCTATTACTCCTAGTGGCCATGGCAAAACCTTCTGCCTTTCACCCAGAGTGATCTTGATATTCACTTCAGTTCAGTTACTCAGTCATGTCCGACTCTTTGCGACCCCATGGACTGCAGCACGCCAGGCCTCCTTGTACATTGCCAACTCCCGCGGTTTACTCAAACTCATGTCCATTGAGTTGGTGATGCCATCCAGCCATCCCACCCCTCTGTCGTCCCCTTCTCCTCCTGCCCCCAATCCCTCCCAGCATCAGGGTCTTTTCCAATGAGTCAGCTCTTCGCATCAGGTGGCCAAAGTATTGGAGTTTCAGCTTCAGCATCAGTCCTTCCAATGAATACTTAGGACTGATTTCCTTTAGGATGGACTGGTTGGATCTCCTTGCAGTCCAAGGAACTCTCAAGAGTCTTCTCTAAGACCACAGTCCAAAAGCGCCAATTCTTCGGCGCTCAGCTTTCTTTATAGTCCAACTCTCACATCCATACATGACTACTGGAAAAACCATAGCTTTGACTAGACGGACCTTGATATAACAGGAAAGAAATGTTGTATCAGGAGTCAAAGCACTCTTACTAAGAATGAACAGCTGGTATCCTGTATTTAAACTTACAAGGGTGTGTCCATCCTTTAAAAGAGCAGCTTATTCACTCAAATAATTGCAAACAATACAATCTGAGTGTAACTCAATTTTAAAGGTGGGTTGAGAGCAGGATATTCTGGGGCCCATACATGCTATTAGGCACTGATACCCAAGAATAGTCCAGGTCAAAACCTTGGTCCCCTATTGCTGAGATTCTCAGGTTTCAGATGAGAGAATTTAAGGCCCCCTTTCAAACTCTGAAGTATTATGATGTGGTTTCTATGATGATAAAAAAGTAAACAGTTAAGCTATAAGAACAATCATTCTGTACAAGACATATAGAAAATATCAAACTATTCAGGCACAAGCAAAGATATGTTTTAGTACACCAAACAACACAACGGAGTTGGAATATGGAGGATTAAAAAGCTTAAAGAAATCCTGCAATAAAGTTGACCAAGATGACGACATAGAAGGCTCCTGGCTCCCCTCCTGCTATGGATACAGAGTATACAGCTACAGTGGGAGCAGTCCCCTCTGAAAGAGATCCAGAAACTAGCTCAGTGACTCCTACACATCTGGTGAATAAGCAAATATTCACATCAAAACAGATAAGAAAGGCGGAGTCAAATGACAAGGTCCTACTGTATAGCACAGGGAATTATATTCAATATCCTATGATAAACCATAATGGAAAAGAACGTATAAAAAAGGAATGTAAATGTATGCATGATTGAATCACTTTGCTGTATAGCAGAAATGAACACAATTAACATAATATTGTAAACCAACTAAATTTCAAATTAAGAAAAGATCTTTACAATGAACACTACAAGGGAATCCCCTGGTGGTCCAATGGTTAGGACTCTGTGATTTCACTGCCAACGGCCTGGATTTAATTCCTAGTCAGGGAACTAAGATCACACAAGTCACATGGCATGGCCAGAAAAAAAAAGAAAAAAAAACCATAAGACATTAATGAAAAGAATGGAAAAAGACACCAAAAAATGAAAAAAGATATTCTGTGCTCATGGATTGAAAGAATTAAAATTATTTATGTCCATACTACCCAAAGTGATCTACAGATTCAATGCAATCCTTATTAAAACTCCAATGGTATTCTTCACAGAAATAGAAAAGCAACCGTAAATATTATATGGAACCACCTAAGATCAGAAACTGTAAATCTGGAAGAATACATAAGGGGTAAGTAAACTCCTTAACTTTGGTCTTGGCAATGATTTTTTGGGTTTGACACCAAAAAAAAAGACAACAAAAGCAAAAACAAACAAGTCAGACTACAGGAAACTAAAAAGCTTCTGCAAGGCAAAGGAGGCCATGGAATGGGAGAATATCTGCAAATCACATTATCTAATAAGGGGTCAATAACCAAAATATATGAGGAACTCCTACAACTCAATGGCAAAAAACCCCAAATGGGCCAATTTAAAACTGGGCAGAGAAACTTAATAAGCATTCTTCAAAAGACATACAAATGGTCAACAGGTACACAAAAGGCTTTCAGCATTCAACATCATTGATCATCAGGGAAATCAAAAAGAGAAATTATCTCACTAGTTAGTTTGGCCATCATCAGAAAAGAGAATGAATACTGGTTAGGATGTAGAAAAAAGTGAAAGTTTGTGTACTGTTAATGCGAATGTAAACTGGTACAGCCACTATAGAAAACAATATGGAGATTCCTCAAGAAATTAAGAATAGAACCACTGTATGATCCAGCAATCCCACTTCTGGGTATACATCCAAAGGAAACAAAATAACCAAATAATTATCTCAAAGAGATATATATGTACTCCCATGTTCACTGCAGCATTATTTACAATAGTCAAGACCCAGAAACAACCTAAGTGTAGACAGATGAAAGGATAAAAATGTGATTCATATAGTCAGCCCTGCATACCTAAGGATGTGTAATGCACAGATAAGGAAACCGACTATCTTCATTGTATTGCACTATTTTATACAAGGGACTTGAGGACCCAAAGATTTTGGTATCCATAGGTGCTCCTGGAGCCAATGCCCTACAGATAGTGAGGGACAACTCTATATGGAATATTACTCAGCCTTAAAAAGGAAAGAAAACCTTAAAAAAAAAAAGGAAGGAAAATACTGTCATTTGTGACAACATAGGTGAATTCAGACAGCATTATGTTAAGTGAAATAAGCCAGGCAGAGAAAGACAACTAATGCATGGTATCACTTATATGTGGAATCTAAAAGAAATAACTCACAGAAAAATAGATTAGAAAACTGGTACCCAGTGTAGGGGAAATAGGGAAAGATAGGTAAAAAGGTACAAATGTTTAGGTACAACATGAATAAAGTCTGAGGACCTAATGTAAAACATAGTAACTACAGTTGATAGCAATCATGTATGATTGAAATTTGCTAAGAGCAGAACCTAAATGTTCTCATCAAAACCAGTAAACGTGTATTAGTTTACTCCATGGAGAGAATACTTTCATAATGTTATCTGCATATCAAATCATCACACTATATACACTTTAAGTATCTTAGAATGTTTTTGTCAATTACACCTCAATAAAGCTGGAAAAAAAAATCCTGCCATAGCTAAAACAACATGACTTGACGTTACCACTTAAAACAGCCAGAGGTCAAAAGCAGCAGTGGCTACATGTGTATGTGTTTTCTTTTTCAAAAGCATTTTTGTCTATCGCCATTTACTCCCACAGCAATCCTTAAGAAGTTAGAGCCCTCAAACTTGCATTCTGCAGAGACAGGAAAACTTGAAATCACTTGCTGCTGGTGATTCTCCATCTGCCCTCCTCCTCCCCACTCAGGAACTGGCTTGACCTCCCTGTGTTGCGTCTCCTGGCCTGCTTCACCCTCCAGCTTCCACTTGACACTGGCCAGAGACGGAGATCAGAGGAGAGGAAAGGTGTAACCCAGAACGAACCTGACTCCCTGCTCCGATCTTGCCTCTTTGCAAAACAGTGTTGCCTCTAGCCTGAAATATGCAAGGCAGCACATTCTCAAGGCTCTGCCTCCCAGGCTTGTTCTTTCAAGGCCTAACAGTTTTCATTTATATGAAGATAAAAAGTTGCACAACAGAGGACCACACTGGTCCTGTCGGAGGTTGACAGCAGACCTACAAGGACAGCTGCGAGAGCAAAGGATGATCACATTCCCCTTCCTGGTCTGGTCCGCACCAAGATTTCTGCAACAACCAGCTACAACCCTGCCCCCTTTGAAGCCTGAATTCTAACTCAGGGGTAAAATGGTTCCTTGGGACACTAGATTACCATCTTCTCTGTCTGCTCGGTTTCCAAAAAAAGTCACTATATTTTGCCCCAACACCTCGTCTCTTGATTGAGTAGCCAGTCATGCGGCTGAGCAGGACAGGGTTTGGATAAAAGGAGAGGCTGGTGAACTCATCCCCAGCATGTCCTGTCCCGCTAATCCGGCAGTGGCTGACTTCTGCCAAGGCCCCCTGCGGCCCTGGAGGGCGAGCCCTCCTTGGGAACTCCATCCCCACTCTCACCTGCAAGCTCTGGAACCACAGCCCCTTCCCTGCTCCTTCAGACCAGGGAGGGGATGACACCCCACCAACCCTCTTACCTGGGTGCCTCACTGTCATTTGTTGGTTCTCCGAAACCTACCCCCTCTTCTATAGAGGCCCTTCAAAAATGTCTTGCATTTTCGTGGTTTTTTCCTTTTTCCATTCTAACCAATATACTTGCCCACCAAAATCTCACCGTAAATGAATGGTACAGCCAGGACTAAACAGATTCCTTGGCTTAAACTATGCCTCTCTTTCCATCTTAGTCTTTCTCCTAAGCGCAAACTGGAATATGAACCTCTCTAGAGCATACCACGGAGAAGGCAATGGCAACCCACTCCAGTACTCTTGCCTGGAAAATCCTATGGACGGAGGAGCCTGGTAGGCTGCAGTCCATGGGGTCTTGAAGAGTCGGACACGACTGAGTGACTTCCCTTTCACTTTTCACTTTCATGCATTGGAGAAGGAAATGGCAACCCACCCGTGTTCTTGCCTGGAGAATCCCAGGGACGGAGGAGCCTGGTGGGCTTCTGTCTATGGGGTCGCAGAGTCGGACACGACTGCAGAGACTTAGCAGCAACAGCAGCAGCAGCAGAGCATACCATGAATAATATGGCAATTTCCGTTAACCCAATGATCTCCATCAACATTTCTGACTGTTAGAATTAGAAGGGAGGAGTGAGCCAGCATGCTGCTAACCATATTCTAGTGCACAGACAGCCTCGCACAACAGAGTTTAGTTCAATCGCTCAGTCATGTCTGACTCTTTGTGACCCCATGAATCGCAGCATGCCAGGCCTCCCTGTCCATCACCAACTCCCAGAGTTTACTCAAACTCATGCCCATCGAGTCGGTGACGCCATCCAGCCATCTCATCCTCTGTCGTTCCCTTCTCCTCCTGCCCCCAATCCCTCCCAGCATCAGGGTCTTTTCCAATGAGTCAACTCTTCTCATGAGGTGGCCAAAGTATTGGAGTTTCAGCTTCAGCATCAGTCCTTCCAATGAACACCCAGGACTTATCTCCTTCAGGATGGTTATCCAGCCCCAAATATCAACAGTTCCGAGGTTGATTACTCCTCCTGCAGAATGCCCCACAGCTGTGACTTTCCTCCTCTCTGAAATGCTCTCTGATGCCTATACCCACTGCTCTCAAGCCAGGCCACTGGCAGAATTATGTTGAGTCCTGCCCCAGGCCACAGGTGTCTTGCACCAAGGCCTCAGAAGTGGAGCCCAGAACCCAGGTCACCTGCAAAGCTGATTGAGCCCCTTTGTAACTGTTGCCCAAAGCCCCTGATATCACTGACAAGCTTCCTGATTCCCAATTAGGCAAAGACGCCCACTCCTGTAAACACACTATAGTGCCCCAACCAATCACCTACTGCCAACCTTTCTGCAGGAATTTTCATTTGTCTTGAGGTTATAAAAATTGGCTATTAACTCATGAAAACTGTTGGCTTTCCCTGGTCTGTCAGGAGGTTGGCCCACTGTGCTCACATTATCTCTGCCCATATTATCTTTGCTCTTTGTTCTTAAAAAACTCATTCCCTTCTGAAATGCTCTATGTCTGGAAATTCTTTTCCAAACTGTGATCAGATTGACTCAACAAAGAACGGGGGAAGGATTAGCGAGATGGTGACCTTCTCAGACAGGGCCAGGTGCTGGCCTGAGAGGTCCAAGAGTTATGGTAAAAGTGACCTTTCCCCCTAGGCTGAATTTTCCTTTCTTGAAGGGAGCTGATACTTTGGGGCCTACCAAGGAAAATAAATGACTACATGGGGCAAAAGTCTGGAAAAATACACATCAAAATATTAATTGTTAATATGTCTCTGAGTGGTAGAATTTTTAGTGATTTCTTTGTGGTTATGTATATATTTTAAATTTTGTGGGACTTCCCTGATGGTCCAGTGGTTAAGAATCCACCTTTCAATGCATGGGATATAGGTTCAATCCCCGGTCAGGGAACCAAGATTCCACATGCCATGTGGCAACTAAGCAACGAAGACCCAGTGCAGCCCCAAAAAGTTAATAAAATAAATTTTGCTATAAAGGTTAACATTTATATAATTATTTAAAACTCTAAAAAGAAGCTATTATGCCATATTCACCGACTCCATCCCTCCCAGTCCCAGTTCCTCAAGTGCACAGACTTTCACATGGCAATATATCAGGGTGCTTTAATAATGAAACCCAGAAAATTGTCTTTACAGCCAATTATAAGGAATGACTCTACTTCCTTCAAGATCATTCATATTTGAGGAATAAATGAATGAATGAAGTATTCTTTACTTTCAAATGACATGTATTTATGCAACTGACCAAGGTTACTTCCCTGGAGGCAAATTTGAGACTCAGCACAAAAGCACATAGATGTGCACTGTCCTATATGTTAGCCACTGTAGGCTAATTTGTTTTCTACGTGTCTCTCTGCAACCCCATGGACTAAAGCCCACCAAGCTCCTCTGTCCACAAGATTCCCCAGGCAAGAATACTGGAGTGGGTTGCCAGTTCCTTCTCCAGGGGATCTTCCTGACTCAGGGATCAAACATGCGTCTCCTGAGGCTCCTCCGCTGCAGGCAGATTCTTTACCGCTTAAGCCATCAAGGAAGCCGCAAGGCAGCCACTCAGTTCAGTTCAGTTCAGTCGCTCAGTCGTGTCCGACTCTTCGCGACCCCATGAACCGCAGCACGCCATCACCAACTCCAGGAGTTTACTCAAACTCATGTCCATCGAGTCGGTGACGCCATCCAGCCATCTCATCCTCAGCCGTCCCCTTCTCCTCCTGCCCCCAATCCCTCCCAGCATCAGGGTCTTTTCCAATGAGTCAACTCTTCGCTATACACACACTATTTTTTTTAATTGAAGTATAGTAGATTTACAATGTGCCAATCTCTGCTGTACAGAAAAGTGACTCAGTTACACACATATTAAATATTCTTTTTAAAACATTCTTTTCCATTACAGCTTATCCAGGAGACTGGATATAGTTCCCTGTGCTATACATTAGGACCTTGTTGTTTATCCATCCTAAATGTACTATTTTGCATCTACCAACCCCAAACTCCCAGTCCATCCCTCTCCCTTGCTCCTCTCCCCCCTGGCAACCACAAGTCTGTCCTCTATGTCTGTGTGTCTATTTCTGCTTTGTAGATAGGTTCATTTGTGCTATATTTTATTTTATTTTTTTTTTTGTGCTATATTTTAAATTCCACAAATTAGTCATATCATATAGTATTCTCATTCTGACTTAGTATGATAATCTCTAGTTGCATCTGTTTCCTTTTTTGTGGCTAAGTTAATACTCCACTGTTTATATGTATCTCATCTTACTTATCCATTCATCTGTCACTGGACATTTATGTTGTTTCCATGTTTGGCTGTTGTGAATAGTGCTGCTTTGAACATCGGGGTGCATGTTTCTTTTAGAATTATAGTTTTCTCGGGGTATAGGTCCAGGAGTGGGATGGCTGGATCTTTTGGTAATTTTTAGTTTTTTGAGGAACCTCCATACTATTTAAACAAACAGACATACACTATTTAAATGTAAAGTAATTAAATATAGAACATTTCCATTTTCACAGCAAGTTCACACTTTATTTTTTCCCCCTGGACTTAACTTTCTTACATTATCTTTGCTCCCATATCTGGTTACATTTATTTTCTGCTGACTTGCTTCGCCTCTACATGATTTTGTTGCAAACCACCCTAGTTCCTTTGTGGGACAATTCAGGATATCAGTACTTTTAAGCATTTGTGTCGAGAGAACCTTGTTGCTGGGAGCTCAGCCTTAGTTTTTCTAGCGTGCACTTAAATCATGTAACCCTCAGAACAACCTCTGAAGTGCTAAGAGTTTCCAGTTTCCAAAGAGGAAAGCGCAGTCAGGAGAGGCTAAGTGACCTGCGGAGGATACAAACCAAGGAGCAGAACCCCAGGCCGGCAGGTCCCTGGAGTCCCAGCCGGCCGAGTTCTCACCCCCGCTGGAGATGCCGAGCAGAGCCGCTCGCTCACCCAGCCGCCCCACTACGCCGCATAGCCCGAAACACTAACTGAATACCTCTACATAAAAACCGAAACCATCACCATTTTACAAATGAAATAGGGATGAAATGTTCTTAATACTCGGCCTTTGTTTATTTGACTCAGGCCCTCCCCAAGGAGCCCGTAGCGATCGCCCGCCAGCCGAGTCTCGCTTGCGCCGATTCCCCGCCGGTCGGGGCGAGGTGGGCGGCGCCGAGAGCTCTGGGCCGGTGGCCGGTCAGGCGCTGGGTCTCCCGCGCGCCTCGGTTTTCAAGCTCCTTCTGGAGGGTTTCAGAAAAGCTTGATCCCGATCCCCCCGCGCGCCTTACCTGCCGCTGGGCACAAAGCTGAAGCTCCCGGAGCCACCTCCCAGCTCCGTGCCACCACCCGCCCTACGAACCCAGCAGGAGCGCGGCTGGGATTGGCTGCCGAGTCGGAGGGACGGGAGAGGCCCGCG